CCCACCCTGGGCCGCTCTCCCCGGGCAGCGGCCCCAGCCCCTTCACTATGCCTGCTGCCCCACCCTGGGCCGCTCTCCCCGGCCAGCGGCCCCAGGCCCTTCACTGTGCCTGCTGCCCAGTTGCTGCCCCTCTCTGGGCTGCTCTCCCAGGCACATCCCCCAGGCAGAGCAGTGCACCCTTTCATCCCTGTAGGGTGCAGCAGAACAAGGGAAAGTGGACTGTGAGCACCTCGTTAATCTGCCCTGGACCCCATGTCGCCCACGTGCTGCCTGCAGCACGCATCACACTAGGTGCTCTGGTGAGCTGTGTCTCCTTCTCACTAGGACACAAGTGTGAGGAGGGACAGGCTGCATCCTTACCACTAAGTAGCCAGGCAGAGGAGATGACACGCAGCAGGGCTTTGATAAATACCTATTCAACAAGCCCAAGAACAAAGGCAAGTACTCGCCTTTAACTGGGTCCCCGCCCCCAGGCCCTGACTTCAAGGCCCTGGGCCTGGGGAGCAGCCTCAGAATCACTCGCAGCCTCTGGCAGATCACAAAGGAAGGAGGGGACAGCAGGGTCCTGCAGAGCGGAGCGACATACCTAGTGGGGTGTTGAGGCAGATGCACTGCAGGTCGAACCAGTAGGTCTCCACATCCTGCATGGAGTTCAGGACATATAGCCGCCGGTCGAAGGGCCGGCTGCTGTGCGCCAGGTTGTAATGCGGATCACAGATGGTGGTATCGACGATGACCGCGTTCCTCTTCAGGAAGACGAAGACCTGCAGAAAATACGCAGTGGGGAGGAGGGCTGATGGGTCAGCACAGGGCTGGCCGGGGTGCCCCACCCTTCGGCGGCCGGCACTACCTGGTCCTTGTCCTGGAACTTCTCTGTGGGGCCGAACTGCAGCAACCCCATGTAGCACAGCCTCTGCAGGCTCTCCATCACCGAGAAGACGTAGCGCCTGCAAGGGAGGCGGCTGCCACCATGCTGTACCGGGGCCACCCCACCGGACAGGGCTGACCACACTCGCAGCTCGCGTTGGAAGTGACGGCAGCAACAGGAAGGGAGCCAGACCCAGGGGACAGCCTCCTGGCTGCACCTTGGCAGCACACCTGACGTGGTACTCAAAAGCGAGTAATAAAATGGGCCACGTCACACTCCTTCGGGGCTAATTTGTGAAAACCTCCAGCTCAGTGCACTGAAGGCAGGGCCCATCCCTCGTCCTGAAGAGGAAGCCCTGGAGGCTGACGAGGGGGCTGTGTGGTGCGGGCTGGGGCCAAGGGCCTCACCTCTTGTACAGGAGCTGCTGCCGGATGGGCCTGGGGAGGAAGCGGATCAGCGTGTGCTGCTTCACAGGGTGGCTCAGGTACTCTTCGAGGTTGTCCACCTGGAGGGGAGCGCAGGCTCAGCTGGGCTGGAGGGCCGGGCGGCGCAGGCGGGGCTCACGCAGACAGCCACCGCCAGGACCTCCTGGGCCTCTGCCGCCCTACTGGGGGCAGCGAACTGCAGACAGCTCCCAGAAGCAAGGGGCAAATTTATTTACTTATATATATTAAAAACAAAAATCCAAAAAGATGAAGACACCCATCTCCTCTGAAGCCGTTCTATGGTACCCTAAGGAAACTGTGAAACTACTTAATATCAAGTTAACAAATGCAATGGTGTGGAAAATGATATACTGGTCCGCAGAAAGTAATGGGATAGGGTAAATAAAGTAAAATAAAATAAATAAATAAATAAATGAGCAAGTGTACCAAAAAATTAGCAGTGACTATCTCTCAGCAATGAGATTATGGGCAACTCCTATACTTTCCTTTCTCTGTTTACCAAGTTCCTTAAAAAAAATCCTGCTTTACTGTTGCACCATAGCTCTTCCTACCCACCATGCCCGCGTATTACGTAGGGCCGCCCTCCTCCTTTCCTGCCTACCCGCTGTCCTTCCTTCCACCCATTACCTCTCAATTCTAATGTAATCTAACCTAATGGAGAAGAATACACAACCCTTGGGCTACTTCCCCTGGCCGGCTGCCAGCAGCCTACCTTGTAGCTCACTTGCACGATCTGGACGAAGATGGAGAGGGGCAGGCTGAGAAGGATGTCACTCACAAGCGCCCAGCCAAAGCCGAAGTCCCTATGCACCGGGATGGGCGGGACGAAGCGCATCCAGGAGACGTCATCCACGTACACTGGAAAAGCGCTCGAGGTCACTCCCAGAAACGGGGTCCTCCCAGGAGTGCTGCCCCCCCAGCTTGGGCAGAGCCGGCCTGGCAGGTGGAAGGAGGGCCAGGGGCGGGGCCTCAGGGTCACAAAGTAAGGACAGTCTCACCTGTCTCTGTGGATAGCTCCACCTCGGCCTCCCAGGTGACGGTGGCGTCGGGATTGTCCCTGCTTCCTCTCCTCTCACTGCCGAACACTATCTTGTCCATCATGTAGCTGGCCGGGTGCCCATAGACCAGGTACCACAGGAACGTGTGCACTACCCGCAGGCGAGGCATTTTGGGCAGGAACCCAAGGGAGCGGCCGAGGCCGGGAACTGAGGCGAGAAGGGACACGCAGGCTCAGAAATCCCACACAATGGAGTGGCACCGTGCCCAGGTGCAAGGACAGGGTGGCACACGCGCTCACACCTGCTTTCTAGTGGAACCTACACCTGCACACCCTGTGGAGACTGCTGGTGCAGAGAAGCACAAAAGGGGCGAGGGCTAAGCCAGAGCTTGGGACCAGCCTCCCTGGCACTGGGCCTGTGAGCCAGGCCCTCTGGTCCCCGAAGGAAAGGGCTATGCAGGCATGTGGGGCCACAGAGGAGGGCTCCTGGCCCGACACAGACTGCCAAACACCCTCAAGTCTCAGGTCTCTTGAGAAGTGTATTCTTTCTTATTACTAATAAGCTGTTCCCTCAGTTTGCCCGGCAACAGGGGGCAGGTGTGGCAGCTGGCGGGGGCAGTGCTGACACAGTGGGGCCAGCAGCTGCCCAGGCCCACCCTGCCGCTTCGGAGGTCGACTATGAGCTAGGCGCGCTGCACTAACTAGGAAACCTGGAGTGTGAGGCTACCATGTGCCACTGGTGCCCTTGGCAAAGGAGGCTGCGCGCACTACGCCCATGTCTGCTGCCTCGCGGAGGCTGTCACCTAGGAGAGGCTGGGGCCCTCCCTCCTGCTGGCACACTGTGCCTGGCCTGAGTCCAGCCTCATTTACAAAGCCCCAGCTCCCTGCACTGGCTTGGCACAAATTCACACTGGAGTAGCAAGGTGTGGAGCAAAGCAGAAGTCCCCAGTGGCAGGGGTGTGTGGGGTCAGGACAGGGAAGGTTTCCCGTGGCTCATCAGGTGTCCCATGCCTCGGGCACCGAGCAGCAGGGCTTCATCGCTGTAAACCAGACCTCACACCAGGGTCTAGCACCTATCACCTTTGCTTCTCAGTGCCCTGGGAGGTCTGTGGGACAAGAACCCCCATTTGCAGAGAGGGAAACTGAGGCAGCAGAGGTGACGTGACCAGCCCAACTCGGCCGCCCAGCAGCTCTCCCTGTCTGGCTGCAGCCCACAGCCTGAATGCAAGGGATCCCGGGGACCGACGCATCAGCGTGTGAGCAGACGGGATCTGGCCACCATGTGCAGAGCTGCCCCTTACCAACAACGGGCTGGTAGTCTTTCATCGGGGCTATTCCCATCTTCTCATCCGTCTTTTTGGCCCGCACGCCGTCTGGCTTGGAGGAAGCATTCGCATCGGTGTCTCCTGACCCGCTGGGCTCCTCCTGCCCCTGACTTTCTTCTTCTGCCTCCTCTGTGGCTGCTGGAGGCTGCAGAGCCTTGATCCTGCAGGCCAAGCACACTGTGTCGGGGGGCGCTGGACACACCAGGGCTGGGAGCAGAGGCCGAGGCCAGGGGGTGAGGCCAAGCGGGTGTCAGTCAGGCCTCGTGGGGTGGTGGGACATGCAGGCTGAGGGCCACCTGCGCGCCTGGGGCAGCTGCTGCCTGGAGCCTGCGAGCCACCGCGCGGAGACTTCAGGTGTTCTCGCAGATGCCAGACACCAGGAATTTAGGGGAGCAACCAGCGACTGACCCACTCTGTGTGGCCCGTACACGGTGGCCCACACAGGACAGGGTAGCCTCCCGGCCATGGCCTCTCGGTTGGGTCCAGCTGAGGGCTCCTCCCACCCCACCAAGGTGTATCCTGGCCCCCTAGGGGGTTCCGGGGCTGAACTGGGCAGAACGTGAGGAAGCCAAGGGGAATCATCTGGAGTCGTTCTGAGAGCCATTTCCACACATCAGAGGCCTGTGGTGGGGACAGTCCTAATGCGCTCAATCAGATAAACTCCAATTAACAACATGGAGCTTTGTTTTGCTTAAAGAATCTAGAAACTGGGGCTGGGGAGATGGCTCAGTGGTCTAAAGCACCTACTTAGAACACGCTTAGTCAAAGCACAGGGACCGCGGTTCGATCCCCCAGCACCACATGCCAGCCAGCCCCGCCCCCTGGTGGGCTGAGCTGACCACACACACACACAAAAAAAAATAAATAAATTTAAAAAAAAAAAGAATCAAGAAATTGATCCCTGTTCAGGTGAGGGGACAAAGAACCACAAACCCTAAGCGAGTAACTGTTTTGGTGCCAGTCAACACCGAATGGCTTCAGGCAGGGCTGCAAGGCCGGGCGGCCTCACACTGGCTTCCCCTGGCACCACCACTTGCCTGTTGGCTGTGCTTGAATTAGAGATCCGGAAGCGAACCTGCTCGATGGCACTTCTCACCAGGGGGTCGTTCTGGTCCATGGACGGGTGCACAACCAGGTCCACCTGCAGAGGAAGGTCAGGGCACCCCAAGGGCAGTCAAGCTACAGCTCCAGAAGCAGGCTCCTTGGTGGATGCCAGCTCTACCTGTTCTTACTGACATTCTCCAGAGACCACCGGCAGAGGGAAGGAAAACGTCTTGCTCAAAAGTTTGCTGCTACAATTGGTGGCATCGCAACCCTGGAAGCAACAGCGGCCAAAGCTGGGACAGCCATGCGCCCTGCAGCTCCATGGCTGGGCTATCCCAGCGCACCGAGCTCCACGGCCACGGGGGTTGCTCCCCAGTCTGAGCATTTCCCACCGCTGCTCTGGCCCCAGTGGACATCCACGTGTCTACCACGGAGGAGTCGGGTGGCCTTTCTACACCCCCAAGCTGAGAGGGTTGTCACTGTCATGGGTTCCCACCGGCCACACCCACCCCTCAACAATCTGGCAGAGGATTAAGAGCTGCTTCTTGTCTGAGGCAGAACCCTGCAGGCGGCTCACAGGAGCCTGAGATGAACACAGGAAGGCAGCAGTTGAGAGGAGGCGGGGATGGGGGTGGGACAGCAGCCTCAGCGCCGGGTCTCTGGAGAGCAAGGCTTTGCTGGCAGCCACGTGGGGTTTCTTCAGTGTCGACCCTGGCCAGCAGCTTTGTGGCAAAAGTGGACTCAGGCAGGTGTGCAAGTGTGAAACACACAACTGTGTCTAAAGGTGATATAAGGGGCCCAAGTGACCCAGTCTCCCCCCACTGCTCAGCTGGGGAGTAAGGACCCCCGACCACCCCCTCTGCGCTGTAATTTCTTTGCGGCAGACTAAAGTGAGGTACAGCTGGGCAACATTTCAGAGTCTTTGAACAGCGAAGTCCACGATGGCGGCAGTTCTATTTCCTCACTCTCCCCTGCTTCTCAAAGGCAGAGTGGCTAGGGCAGGACACAGGGGCAGCCTGGGCCCCAGGTGCCAGGGCAAGCCCTGCCAAGAAGCAAACCTCAGCTCTGGCTCCGAAGCTGGCCGGGGTACACTCTCAACCCTGCAGCCTCTGCATCTGGAAAGCAGGCCATGGCAGTGCCACCCAGTGACCGAGGCTCCCTCCACAGCGCATGTGTGACCCCAGGTGAGCTGTTGCCCTTGTCCCTTGCTCCAGCCTCTGGCGCGGCCTGGTGGAACAGCACCCAAGCGCAGCAGGAAGCACAGCCGATCGAGCACCACTGCCCTCTCCCTAGTCCTGAGTTCGGGGGAGGATCTGGTGCGCTGGGCTTTTCCTGCTCAGTACCAGGGCCACTGGCCACTGGCCAGTGCTCAAGGGCATGTGTGACAGGCCGGCTGGGGACAGAGGGGCTGCATCAATGCGAACTTTACTGTTCTGTTTCAGAAACTTAGAACAGGTATGAAGGCAGGCGAGCACTGCCAACACGCAAGAGAAGATGCTGCGTTTAAGTCACTCACTGAGCTGCTTTGTAGTTCAGATTTCTCAATCAGTAAGATAAAGTGAGGAAAAAGCAAAAATGGCACTTGTTAAGAAAACAAAGTATCAGAGGGGTGCTCTCTTAAAGGCAGAGATGAAAAACATCACCAGAAAAAAAGAAATTAAGGGACAGTCCCACCACAGCATCCGTCCTTGCCCCAGCGCCCAGCTGCAAATTACTCTGACCCTGGAGGACGCACGCTGCAGAATGTACACAAAGCAGCAGTGACAGGAGCCGGACCAGGAGAGTGCCACAGCCCTGGCCCGCTCCAAGAGCGTGCGGGGCTCACCTTCTTCTTGATGCCGTCCTGGATGACCGTGGTCCGGTACAGCCTCAGGAGGCCCTCCTCAGACAGGTTCCGCACCAGGCGGATGATGGACTTCTTGCAGCACTTGGTGGACACGCCCTCCTGCTTCTCCTGGTCCATGATCATCTTCTGGATCCTGCGACGTCAGAACAAGCAGCTCACATCCCCCACCTCGCCACGGAAGGCCGTTCTCAACAGGGCAACAGAGACACAGTGACTGTCATCAAAGAGAAACTAGCGAAGAATGACGGCTGTTCGCCATGCTGGAAAGGCTGCCTTGCGGGTGATGAGCAGCGGGCTGGAGGCCTGTGCCTGTCCCCAGTGAGCCCTGCAGCCTCAGGACCTGTAGTGATGGCAGCAGAGAGCTGGAGCGCAAGGACAGCCACCTGTCTGCACGAGCCTGCGTGCTAACAGCGCTCAGCTAAGGCAGGCTCCAGCTCAGCACTGCACCTTTGCACCTATAGTTCTTTGGCTCTCGGTGTACGGTGCCACACTCCAGCACTTACCTCAAGAGGACCAAGGTAACGCCCCCAGGCAGATGGCCCCGCCCCGCCCCAGTCCTGCTTGGTGTGCGAAACCCACGTGGGTGGCTGCAGTCAAGGCTCCCTCTCACAGGTGCACTTATACTGCCTGCCTCAGGGGGCTTGATGGTGACACCTGGGCAGTGGTGGCCGTGGGGGGTCTGAGGACCAGCCCAGATCTGAGGCTCTGCCCTTCCCCAGGCTCCACAGTGTTGTTCGAGCCCCTTCGGCTTCTTCTTTCATTGAAGATGTCATAGGCACAGAAGGCCCCAGGAAGAGGAGCTACAGGGAAAGTCACCTGTTCGGGTGTCTACGTTTTCCTTCCCAGCAAGGTAAGAACACCAAATGCATGGTCCCCGCTGACCCCTCTCCTGCTGGACCGCTCTCTCCTGCCTAGTACACAGACTCTCCTAACGTCTGCATTTCTGAACAATATCCATACCACCTAGAGGTCACGAGTCTGCTGGCTGCAGGACGTGACTGTCACAGTGAAGAGCGACACACGGGCGGCCGGGCAGCACTTACGTGAACAGGCTCTCAATCAGGCGAAGGTTGGTGACGGCCTCTATGATCAGGTTCCGGCGTTTCAGCAGCCGGTAAGTCTTGTGGGGCTTCTCCAGGCCTGTGCTGTACTTCCCACCCTTCTGGGAGCTGCCACTCTCCTGAGGAGGACATGAAGCGCTCCGCAGGGCTGGGCAGGTACCACACCCGCAGGCGTTCGCCCATCTCCGGTGCCTGCACAGGACCCACCATGCTCCTCCTTCAGTGCTGACCCAGGACGGAACACGACCTGACCTCCCCAAAGCACAGCAGCCCTGCTATGCCAGGCTTGCCTGGCTCCTCCGCAGGGGTGGGAGGGGCTGGCATCCTCACTGAGGTCTCTAGCAGGCTCCACAGTCCAAGCCAAGAGTCTTATTATTGCTCTCCTCTCACAGAAGGGGAACCCAGGGCTCAGGGTTAAGGACCCACCCAGGCTCCCACTGGACAGCTTCAGACTGCAAACTGAGGAGCCCTGGCAAATCTGCAGGCAACCAGTTGACAAAGGCAGAGACAGAGACACAAAGGCAGAAGGGTAGGGGTGCCTGCGCTTCCCCTTTTAGCTCTACTGAGAGGTTCATGTCACTCTTTATGCCTCCTTCCTGTGTTCCACAGCTTAAAGTGAACCTGTATCACCTGCCTTTTGATCAACCTATACTAAAGCCCAAATGTGAAACCTGAGTGGGAAGGAATCGTGAAAACTTCAAAGCGCTCCTCGCAAACCTCTAGCACAAGCAGAGCAGCCTGGGCAGGGTCTGCTGGGCACCTGCTCACTTAGAGCAACGCTTATAGGACCAAGACCCAGCCAAGAAGGCACCAGGCAGGCGCAAGTGCAGCTCCTATCCTGCCCATTGCGGGCCTCAGTCAATCGGGTACAGCTCCTTCACAAGGAGGGGAGGGAGAGAAGCTCTACAAAACAGGAGATGCCTATGAATGAAGCGGCTGCTTTCCTGACTCCCAGCAGCCCCCAAGGAGAGCACAGGCTGCCTTTCTCAGAACGTTTTTGCACAGGGACACAAAACTGCTGTCACTCTGGGAGTGGATTTCTACCAGAAAGAGAAAGAGCTCCAGGAGCACAGAGCTCCAGGAATTCTAAGCTCCAAGGCAGCGCACGCTGGGAAGACAGGCAGGGCAAAGCGCAGTGGACCAGCAGGGGTCAACGCTGGCAGCCCTGACAACACAAACCACGCGCACACCCTGACAGGGAGGAGGTGTCCAGCACTCTGGGAAGGGCTCAGCGGGTCTAGAAACATCCGTGGCAGGCCCTGTGCCTTCTGCTCCGGACGTAACCAAAGCCAGGCCCTGCCCCAGGAACGCAGAAGCACTGAGGCCCAGGCAGCCACTCACCGGACAGGCAGGTTTGGGATCCCCGGGGGCCTGGCTCCCTTCCAGGGTCGTGGAGCCTGAATCAAAGAGCAGCCTTTGGCTGCCTAATCACAGGGCGGTCCCAGGCCTGCCGCCTCACCCCCCACTCTGCCAAGTCCTGGCAATATCGAGGCACCTTTAGGTGACAAAGGATACAGCACAGGACAAACTGCAGCTCGTAATGAGAAGGGCACTGCTGCCTCGGCTGTCTTAGTCCTTCCAACTGCACTGATGGAAACGTGTTCGTTTGACCCTGTTTATTTAATACCTTGACACATACCTGTATTTGGTCAGAACGTTTTTCCTTTCTATTTTATGGTTACCTTATCCCACCCTCACTCCCTAACCAGGGATTGAACTAAGGATCTCGCACTTGCCAGGCAGGCACTTATGCCGCGGAGCTGTCTCCCCTGCCAGTTACCTTACTTTTGTTGCAAAGAACGCTGGCCTTGCATCTGACAGGGCTTCTTAGGCCTGGCAGCGCTGCCATCCTAACTGGATGCTGCACTGCCACAAGAAGGAGAAGCAACCGAATCCTGGGGCTGGGGTGGGGCTGTAGCTCACCGGAGCAGCGGCGAGCCCTGGGCTCTGAACACCGACCAGAAGCAAAACCTCAGCTTCTCCCTACTCCACGTAAGTAGACCCCTCCCTAAGGTGTGACGATCGAGACAATCCTGGACATAGCCACACTGCCGAATGTTCTCCAGGGAGCAACACTGGCCTACTGCAGGTGAAAAGAGCAAGCTACTGGAAGTCAAAGCCCTGGGGCGAACAGTGAGGCCGGGGATTTCCACCCAGAGCCCAGGCGGCACGGGAAGGAGGAAAGGGAGGAGGAGGAGGCATGGGAGAGCACTGTCACTCCCTGCAGCGCCCCAGCGGTGGGACACAGCCACACTCAGCATCCGACACTGTCATGCGGACTCTGCACTGTCCTCGCTCCACCACCACAGAGGCCCGCCCTGCAGCCCAGCCCCCCCACTGACCTTGGGATTATCCACCCGGACCTCCACCACTGACCTTGGGATTATCCACCCGGACCTCCTCAATCATGGCTATGTCACCGCTGCTGCTCTCCATGCAGTGGGAGCCGAAGGACATGCTGAGGTCCGAAGAGCTGCTGGTGTCCAGGGCGTCCCTGCCCCCAGAGGTCCGGGAGGTGCGCTCCTCGGCAGCCCCGGGGGAGGAAGGCAGCGGCTTCTTCAAGGGGTGAAGGTTGAGGAGTTTCCACCCACCTGCGAAGAGGCCGGGGACAGAGAAATCAGAGGGGAGGCAGGAGGGCTTCTGCACTTGGCAGCCCGGGGCCCAGCACGCAGCGCAGGCCCCTCTTCACCCGAGACTGCACACTGCTCTACAGACCTGCGAGTGCCCCACCCTCTGTGGTCTTTTAGTCAGTGTTCTACACGTAACTTAAAAGCCTGAAGATTTCCGAATAGACAGAGGAAGCTTATGTGATGTCATCTCCATAGCAGTTAAAAACAGAACCACCAGTTCTTGGGAGGGTGTAAACAGGGGGATCACTATGAGTCTGACCTCGTAGTGAGACGCTGAACACCCTGTAGACCCTTCCCAAAAAATACCAAAAAGAAAAAAAAAATAATAATAATAACAACATTTTAGGGCCGGGGAGATAGCTCAGTAGAATAAGTGCTTGCCTGGCAAGCGCAAAGTCCTGAGTTCAATCCCCGGTACTGCAAAAAAACCAAAAAACAAACACAACAAAAACACACAAACAGAACAAAACACTTCCTAGGAACTACCTTGAGAGCAACAGGCGACAGACCCCCCGACTGACCCTGGACTACAGGACGCCAGCGGCCCCAGTTGAGGCAGCACAAAGGAAGGCCTGGGTGTTTGCCACCCAGCCCGGAGTGCTTCCTACCCTTGGTCGGGGTGGAGTGATGAGGCTGGCAGCCAGGCCCGAACTCCACAGAGGACCTCGCGTGGCCCTGCGCTCCCCGGGCCCTGCGCTTGCTGCCCCTGCTGCCCTCCTCCTCGCTGTCCGACTCCGAGAGAAAGGTGTCCTCGCCCTCGGGCGGCAGTGGCTCCTCGCCCATGGAGGCCAAGCTCACGGTGGTCAGCAGCTCGCCCCGGGCCTTCTCCTGTGCATACTGCCGGCTCAGGTCGCTCTCCTCGGCGAAGACACAGGAGATGTACTTGGTGGTCCGCTGCCGCCCTTCGTCCTCCATGAAGCCCTGCAGTTGGACGGTGCCGCACGCTCAGAAGGGGTACTGTGCTGCCCGGCACAGGCACTCGGGACCTGGCTCTCCCTCCCCCGGGCCCCCATCTCAGCATTTCAGGACTGCCTCTCCCAGCGGCCAGAGGTCTCCCCTCTGCCGCCCTGAGCTCCACGAGGCCCAGACGCTCACGCAGGCTTCTAAGTCGCTACCGTGCTTAGCGTGGGACTTGGCTCACAGACCACGCCAACAGCAGCGTGTCTGTTATACACCTTGCCGTCATTGGCTCAGCTGTAATCCTGCCTTCCCGCCCAATGTCCCAAAGGCAGGCAGGAAGAGGGCGGAGGGCTGCTGTGGCTGGAGGAGTGCCCGAACAGGTCCTCGCTAAAGGACTGGTGCCGGGTGGCGCTGCTGGGGTGTGGAGGGGGGCCCAGGGCCATTGGGGGCATGCCCTCAAAGTGGGTCAGGGATTGGTCATTCCCTCCCCCATTTAAGCTCTAAGTCGTTAGAGCCCCCACCACTACATCTGCCTCACCAGAGGCCTGAAGCAACAGGGCCACTTGATGGTTGAGGTTTTCTGGAACCTCCAGAACCATGAGCTGGAATAAACCTTTGCTCTTTAAAAATCAATTGCCCCAAGTATTTCATTATAGTTCTGGAATGCTGACGATGTAAGTCATCGAGGTGCTGCAATACCAGTGTAAATGACAAAGGGAGAGCACCAGCCATGGCCGGTTAGTAGCCTGATGGCCCCAGGTCCAAGGGAAGTCACAGAAGGGAGATAGGGCGGGTGGACAGGCACTGGCCAGCTTGCGCTGCCTGGCCCTACACAGAAGAGGTGCTGAATGGCCCTGCCTCACCCCATGACTCTTCCACACTGACAACTCCTTCAGCTTTCAAAAAATGGAAACACATGAAGGCCACGGTGAGGGGGAGACATGACATGGTGGCGCCTGCCAGCCGGGTGCCAAAGGCCGGGCTTCTTGTTCTGCAACTGCCTGGGGCGCTTGCCACAGTCAGAGTGTGCACACCCGAAGAAGGGGGCTGCGGGGTTACCTTGACAACCTTGAATCTCTGAAGCAGCCGGCACAGCATCCTGGCCTCCAGCTTTCCCACGTTCATGGCCACGCGAATCTCGGCCTGGGAAATTCCTTTCGTACCTCTGCGCTCAACTGTAAGGAAGAGCGCTGTGAGCCTGGGCTCTGCGCCACGCAGCACTGCAGTCACCCCACGGCCAGCGGCTGCACAACAGGCCGCCGTGTCCCTTGCTGCCGAAGACTGCAGGCCTCCCAGGACCGAAGACTACTATGCTGCTCAGAACACCAGCAGCTCACTTTGGGGGAACCCATGCTGTCTGGCTCCTCCACGTTAGAACAATAAAGAAAAAGCCGTGAGCAAGTGATCCATGGCGCTCTAGACTCCACTCTTACTTAGGAAATTACCACTTTCTCAGCAATGAACTTTTTCAGATAAATGAAACTGACTCCTTTAAAAAGGAAAGTAATTATTTAAAACAAGACTTTTCCCCAGCACTAAGGATTGCATCCAGGCCCTTCACGCTGAGTTCCATCTCGGCCCTTTTTATGCTGAGAGGATCTGTGCTAAACTGCCGAACCTTGCCACCTTCCCGCCTCGGCTTCCCCGAGTGCCGGGACTAGACGTGTGCGTGCCCGCGCCCAGCTCCAAGAGCTTCTTTTAAGGCGTGTGCTTCACGTCCCTGTCTTTCAGGCACCACAGACTTCAGAGCAAGCAGGGACAGGCAGGAAACAGCAGCACTGAGCCGACGTGAAGGCCTCGCTGAGGACGGGCCCTGTAATCTGTGCTGTGCGCCTGCCGGCTCCTGCTGGCTCCTGCCAGCTGCTGTTTCTCAGCGTTGCTACTGCACCTATATCTCAGGGGCCCCTTTCAGCTCCCTCTGCTATTTTGTGATGGAGAGGGCTAGGAAGAGATGGGGGAGCGGCAGGGGACCCCACAGCAAGGCACGCACGAAAGCAACACTCCTGGGCGCTTCAGAAGTGTTTTCTGATACGTTCACAAAGATGCAGCTGCCGGAAAAACCACTCTGGACAGAGAGGCTGCTGCGTCACACAGGCATAAAAGTAAATGGCAGGGGGCTGGAGAGATAGCTCAGTAGAATAAGCACTTGCCTGGCAAGTTCAAGGGCCTGAGTTCAATCCCTGGTTCCGCCAAAAAAAAAAAAAAAAGTAAATGGCAGAATCCAAAGGGACAGCTGGGATGGTTCCTTCACTGCCCAGCAGAGACGAGAGGACTGGGGCAAGCTGCTCCCAAACTGTGTTCCGAGGACTGCCTCACCCCCTCATGGGGTGAGCAGTTCTCTAACAGCCTGGCTGGCTCGCTGGGGGGAGTACTGCACCTCCCGCGGCCACTGGGCTTTCTGCTCTGCCCTTGCCCCACAGGGGCCTGTGGCCACACGGCCATGGCGCTGGGGCACAGCTGCCCCGAAGAGGTTTTGGGGGTCTAGGGAAGGGTGGGCAAAGGAAGTTTTCTTGCCCTTCATCACTGGTATATCCAGCGGTCGCCGGTGGCGAGTCCTAGGAGGGAGAGCGGCCTGCAAAACTCTACCCTGCAGCTCCACCCTCAACACCATAGTGCTGCCGGGCCTAGAGGGGAGCCTGCGACGGGGGTGTGACGCCCTCCTGAGCAGACACGGACCACCTGTTTCCTGCTGGGACCGCGTCAGCAGGTCGTGCTAGAAGCGAGGTTACCCTCCATGTCCGGCCTCTGCCAGAGAGCCCGGCTCCACGGAGCAGCACAAGGCCCACAGCAGAAGCTGGGCCAACACCAACACCCACCTTGAGTCCTCCAGCTTCCTGAACTCTAAGTCAAAATCAACTCCTTGGGGCTGGGGAGATGGCTCAGTAGGATAAGCGCTTGACTGGCAAACGCCAGGATCCAAGTTCAATCCCCAGTTCCGGATCAACTCCTTTTTATAAATTACCCAGTTTTGGGCCCTCAGGTACAGCACCAGGAACCAGACTGAGACAATTAGCTATTGCTGTGTGTGTGCTTTCTACGTACTAGGGACTGTTCCAGGCTTTAATCCTACGTCACTCATCCTCTAAATGTGCCAGTGGGGGCGATTCCCGAGGTGAAGGTTAACTTCAGGTATCAGCGTGCCCGGACGCAGGGCTGCCTGCATAGGTGGTGAGGGTGAGCTCTAAGCTGCTGTGCAGGCGTTTCTGCAGAAGGCCAGACTGTGACTGGGCTGCATGTGGAAGACACTCTGAATGTGGGTCATTGGCTGGGGCCAGAGCAGGGCGCACCTTCCTGCTGTGCTCCGTGACCTCGGGACCCGCAGGCTCTCCAGCATCAGCCTGTGCAGGTCTAGGGCACTTTCCCCCGACTATTCCCCGAGGCGATCCCTGGTGAGCTCCCTCTCCTCTGCTTTCTTGCACCACCCACTGCTCTGAAGGACCCCGACATGTCCCACTGTACAGACTGTGCCAAAGCCACTTGGAAGAGGGGCAGCCAGGCTCCACTGCAGCAGCCCACAGCCTGCGCTCCCACAGCCACGCTGCCCCCTGTGGCTCCCGGCGGCACCCCGCAGGCTGGACTCACTGAGGTCGTAGGTCTGTGTGAGCATGTCCCGCTCGTACACGATGTCCACCGGGGGCACGCCCTTGGAGATGACCTCCTCATCGTCATCGTCATCGTGGTCATCTTCCACCTTCTTCTTGAAGTCCTTCAGCAGCCTCAGGCACCGGACCATGATATCTGTCCCTGGGAACACAAGCACGTTTGCCAGGGGTGAATGGAAGCAGGGCCCGGGCAGCCACAGCCGTCACCCACAGACACAGGAGCCTGAGAAAGGTCCGGCCCAGTGGTGTTTATGAAGTTCAAGCCCGTGTCCTAAGGCACTAGGCCAGGAAATCAGTGCCACTGGATTACTGCTCATTGAAAAGAGAGAACGACCGGAGGGGGGCAGGGCAGAGCAAGTGGGTGAAGAAATGCAGAGAAAAATGAACCTTGAGGCATTTCCTGGCAGCCGCACCTGTGAGTCCTGCTCACACCCTGCTCTAGGACAAGGAGGCCCCTGTTTCTTCAAATCTTCCTAGCACCCTGATAGGGCCACATGCAGGACACAGGTGAGCTGTAAGAGTGAGAAGCAGCTAGGCATGGTGGTGTACACCTGAAATCCCAGCCCTTGGGAGGCTGAGGCAGGAGGAGCACTGTGAGCTCAAGGCCAGCCTGGGCTACAGTGAGTTCGAGCAGAGTGTGAACTACACAGCGAGACCCTGTCTTAAAATAAAAAAGAAAAAAATACATCTTTTCCCACAGCTAACACCTGCTTCCATGGGGTGTGGCAGCGGTGTATAGGAGTGCTAGATGCCTTGGAGCACATACTGAGTGCTGGCTCCAATGACTCCAAGTGTAGGCATTTAGACCACGAAAATATCCCAAAAAGAGGCAAGGCTGCCAAGACTAACAGGCAAACTCGACCACTCTGTGCAGCACTAATAGACATCACAGAAGCAAGGGCTGGGCTGTCGCGCAGAGGCAAAGCGCTTGTCCGGTGTGCAGGCCCTGGGCTCTGCCCCCAGCCATGGAAACCACAGCAGCAGCAGCGAGGCACTGAGCAGCAGTTTTCCAAGAAGCCAATGTGCTCTCGGCAGACTGCATCTGTTACAACTCACCAAGAACGATACCAGAGAAGAATTACTCCCATGTGCCTGTGGACAAGGACAAGAAAGGCACAGGGAAAGTGAACGCGTGCTGCCGCTTGCTATGTGCTGACTCTGGGTCCCAGGGACCCAAGCGGGCACTTTACGGACAAAAGCTGAAACACGGAAGGGTTAAATCTCCTGCCCAAAGCTCCCAACAGCCTGAGCATGGCAGAGGCCAACGCTCAGCAGGAGCAGGCTCAGGCATCCCATTTCTGCAAGAGCTGGCCACCGAGCAGCGGCCTCAAAGTCGCCTTCATTTCAATTCCTGCAGCTGTGTGCGGGTGCCTCATGGGCCAGAGGCCTTTGCAGACATGATTATCTGCAGGGCCTGCTTGCTGCGGCTAAGGATACTGAGGTGAGGAGACTGCTTTGGGTCAGCAGGGCAGCGTGATGCAGAAACACGGGGTCCTTGTCAGAGGAGAGCAGGAGGGTCACAGCCAGCTCCGAGAGGGCCAGGACTAGGAGCCAAGGATGGGAACGGCTTCTGGGAACTGGGCAAGGCCAGGCACAGGTTACCATGGGGAGCGCAGCAAGGGTAGTGCTACAGTTGGTCTCTGCCCCTCCCTGCCCAGGAGGTATGCGATGCCCTCCCCAGAGCACAGAAACCCCGTCCATTCTCAGGCAGAGGATTTCCTAGGCACAGAACTTGCAGGTGAACATCATGAACAAGAAAGCATCGCAGGGCACAGAATTCCGCTTTCCCAGGAGGCCAACTGGGAGAAGGGCCTGAGCCAAAAGGTCCACAGCACCACAGGCAGCCTCAGGGGCCCCGGGCGAAGCCTGGCGCCAGCCCATAGGTGACCACCCACACATCAGCACGAGGTAGAGCCCAGCATGGCTGCAGTACAGGCCCACAGCCTTGGTCCTCTGGACCACGGTCCTCCCCCAGCATGGGAGCCTGAGCTACAGGAGGGGACGAGGAACTCGCAGGTCCACCAGTACTGTCGAAGACCACCTGAAGGCTCAGGGCCCTGGGATGGGGTTGCCTGGGGCTCCTTCCCACCAGCTCTTTTGGCAGCGTCCAGCAGATCCAGGGGGCAGCAGGCACTGGCCACCACAGCATCCCGTGTCCTGTAGTGAGGCCCATCCAGCATCCCCTCCTGCCCAGCTTCCCTGGCGCCACTGTCCTTTGCAGCTCCTACCACAGCCTGGCCGCCATCTGAGGCTTCCCACACACTTTCCAAGCTGAGTCTCAGCACGGGCTTGGCAGGGAGGTGCGGCACGTTCGTTTTCCTCGAGAGGACACCAAGGAGCTAAGGAGCCTGTCCACGCCTGGCCCGCGCCAGGGAGGGGTTGGGGCAGGGTGCCTTGATTCAATGGGCCTGAGCAGTGGTGACGCCCCGCTGCCAGGGACACTGGCACCACACAGCACCTCAGGGACACCAGCCCAAGCCCTGGCGCCACTGCTGCCACTGCCAAACTCCCTTTAGGAGTGAGGCATCAGGGAACGACACACAGCAGCACTCGAGCGCCAGCGTGAGAGGAGGGGCACAAGCTCTGCGGGCTCACCGGGCAGGGGGAGGGGCCCGAGGCTCGGTCGCTGCCCCTCTCTGTGGCGGTGTGCGAGATCTGTGCCATCCCAGCTTTCACCGCATGGCACCAAGGCCTCTGCAATGACAGGTGTGAGCACAGGGGCGGGGGCTGGGCCACGGGCCTCTCGCTCAACTCTGTAACTTCCTGTTTGTATGACCATGAGAAGTGAACTCTGCTTTCTGACCAATAAAATGGAACAGCAACGGTGGGACCTGAGAGATGGCTCAACACGATAAGCGCTTGCCTGGCAAGAGCAAGGGCCTCAGTTCAATCCCCGGTTCCGCAAATAAATTAATTAATTAATTAAAAATAGCAGCAATGTTCTCCACCTCATGGGACTAGGTGAGGACGGCAGAGGTGGCGTCTGCTCAGAGCCCGTGCTACAATGCCCTGCTCTTGCCGGGAGCCAGGCCATGAGAGCCCCTCTCCGCCCCGAGTTCACCACGATGAAGCAGCATTCTTACCAGTATGACCAGTGCCCTAGCGCTGGTGAAGATGCTGCAAAATCAGCAGACTTAAGATGGTAGTCCCCACGGCTGGCCTCGTCATGGTGGCTCCTGGGGTCTCTGGGTTGGGGTGTGACATTCAGTCTGGGCAGTCTGGCTGCTAGTGGGGAAGGCTGAGGATGGTACTTGGGCACTGTGAGACGCTCTTCGAAGACCCATGTGGCATTGTCAGCCCAGGACTGACCAGGAGCATGTGACCCAGGAAGGGCGCTGCGGGTGGGACAGGCCTGCTCAATCATCCGGGGCTAAGGAGAGGCCACAGAGCTTGCAGAAGGCCTCGAGTGCCACAGCCAGGTGGCGCTGGTGAGGGGGGGGGGGGGGGGGGGGGGGGTGCTCTGCCTGCCTCACAGGGCAGAGCCCGTTCCTCTGCTGTGACCCCAGCTGTAGCCAGCAACCCAGGCACAGAGGAAAAGCAGGCTCCCTCTGTCCACTGGGCTATGTCTGTTCCCTTCCTAACACAACACAACAAAGCTTCCCTTTCTCCACCCTCACTCTGGGAAACCTTGCTGGACAGGTGGCATGGCCTAGAGGTTCAGGGTCGGCTTCTGTGTTGGTGGGCCCTGCTCTGTGAACGAGGACAACAAACATGCTCGGCCCTCTGGGCCGTGGGGAGCCCTGCAGGAAACCAGGCAGGCGAGGACCCCAGGGACCCTTGGGACCAGGTCTTCCAGCCCTCGCACCTCTCCTAGCCCTCGAGTTTCACCAGCAGTGTTCGGGGGCTGAGGCTGTAGCTGAGTGGAGCACGAGCCTGGCATGCACAAGGCGCCTTGACCAGCACTGCAGAGAACTTCAGTTTTTACTGTTGAAATCCTTTCTATTTCTCCCTCCCTTTTCAAGGACCCAGTTCCAGATTACAGTTGGCTAATGCCACAAGGGGAAAGGACAGGATGACACGTCAGTGAGAACCACACAGGAGGGCCAGTGAGATAGTTCAGCGGGCTATAGCCCCTGCTTAGGCAAGCACAGCGACCGCAGTTCAATCCCTGGCACCGCCCCTAGGGCAGGCTGAGCCAGCCAGAATCCCTCATGTGCCTGTAATCCCAGCACTGGGGAGGCTGAAAACAGGAGGATCACTATGAGTCCCAGCTGCATAGTGAGACCCTGTAACAACCAAATACATTTTAACAACAACAACAACAACAGAACATACACACATCAGCCAGGTGTGGTGGTGCGTGCCTGTAATGCTAGTAAGGGAGGCTGAGGTAGGAGGATCACTGCGAATCTGAAGCAGTCAGCCTGGACTACAAAGTGAGTTCAAGGCCAGCCTGAACTGCACAGTGAAACCCTTTCTCAAAAAGATTTTTAAAGAAGAAAAAAAGAACACACATACCAGCATGAACGGGCATCGCCTCTCCTCACTTGAGCTGCCTGCAGAACAGCTCCCATCCTGGAGGACCCGGGGCCGATAATGGCAACCGCTGGTCTCTGCTGCAGAACTTGCTTCCCAGGGACAAAGGACCAGAGCGGTACGACCCGCCGGTAAGTGTGCATGGTCAGCCAGCCGGGTGACCACACACGCACACGCGGGTCCTGGGAACTTTGGAGACACGGGGCACCGAGGTCAGCAGTTCACCCAAACGAACCATCAGATCTCCAGATCGGACACCCAGGATGGCAGAATTCAGGCATTTGTGGGCCCAGAAATGGGATGAGTCCTTCCTGAGCATTTGCTTGGCCTCCAGAGCCGTTTCCTCATCACGTAGCCCTGCAGGGTAGTACAGCGCTGCCCTGTATGGTGGAAGGAGCTGGCCGGGAACAGCAGTGCATGCCTGCCCGTAATCCCCACTATTTGGGAGTCTGAGCCAGGAGGATCACACGTCAGCAGCCAGCCCGGGCAGCTCAGTAAGATCCTGTCTCAGAATACAGTACCATGTTCTGAGAGATAGAGACGCAGCACAGTGGTAGGATGGGGGGTGGGAGAGGACAAGAAGGAAGAGGAAGAGGAAGAGAGGGCAGGAAAAGGAAAAAGAGAGAAAAGGGAAACAGGTTCAGCGAGGTTGTGTGATCTAACTGG